TCTCTCTGTCAAATAAATAAAATCTTTACAAAATAATAAAAATAAAAATAAATAAAATCACATTCCCTACTGGACAATCTTTCTCTGCCTTAACTACAGACTTCTCTTCAATGTGATAGTTCCTTATGGACCCTTGGAGTCCGCTGAGTTTTTTTTAAGGTAAGCAATCTGTGACTTACTTTATACTCTATCTAATAGAGAAGGCTGTACAAAGAGATAAAAGACAGTAACTGCTCAAACATATGAACACTTACTATGTGCCATTAATCCTCACAGCAACTGAGGTAGTTGCTATCAAAATCCACCTATTACAGATAAGGAAACAGGTTTTTGTTTTGTTTTTTTAAGATTTATTTATTTATTTACTTATTTGAGAGAGTGTCCCTGCACAAGCAGGGGGAGGGAGAGGATCTCAAGCAGACTCCCTAAGTGCAGAGCCCAATGCAGGACTCAATCACAGGATCCTGAGATCATGACCTGAGCCAAAATCAAGAGCCAGATGCTTAACTGACTGAACCACCCAGTCACCCAAGGAAACAGGCTTTAAAAATGAATTTATAAATTAGTTTAGAGAAGTTAGTGACTTGCTTAGTAAACGGCTAGAAAAGGATAGTGCTTGACTATGAACTCAAGGTTTGCTTCTGATTCCAGTTTCTGAGTACTAATCACTCTGCCTCTAGTATTTACAGAAGTGCCAAGAGCTGTGAACTTCAGCTGGGAAAAAGGGAAAGAAAAATCAGAGCTGGGGGAGGATAATATAATCAAAACATTATTTCCAGGCAAAGGTGACATACAGATTTATACAAGGAGAAAAATGTATTCTTCTACTTTATATATTTCAGAGATAATCCTATCCTGACAGCACTTATATTTACTATCCAGCTATAAAATCTGATTTATAGAGCTAGCCTTATCTGATATGCACCAATTGTGAGGACATAAATTTGACTTCACTTCTTAAAAAAAAAAGAAGCTAGAGCTGCAGATATGGTTAAAATAAAAATGATTCTGTAAAAAAGTACTCTAGAAGGGAAATGAAGATCTACAGAAGGACTGGAGTGTCACAGACAGAAACTCCTTTATGAGAACTCTCCCACCCATTTCCCCGTCCCTTCGAATGACTTTCATTCTGCACCTTCATTTCCATACCCTCAGAACCTAAGACAGAATTCACTTTCCAGTACAGTGACTTCCCCCTATTAAAAAATTACTACTTAGAGAACTTTCATTTCCAGCAATGACCTTCAAGGTCACACACTCTGAAGAGATTTATACTTCAGTTTTCCTGTTCAATTTACAATCCTTTGGGCTGGTACCCCTAAAGACTTAATTAAATCAAGTGAAAGCAGAATAATTGACCAAAATTATTATGCTGAAAAATACAGGTGGTACATATTTTATCCTCCTAAAAATCAGCAACATTAGGAATCTCGCTTTCTCCTTCACAGAGCTGCCCCAAATGAGGTGTTAAAGCACCGGGCAACGTGTATTTATTCTAAGCATGTTTCAGTCATTATCGGCTCCTTAAGGACACAATGACTATGTGGTACCAGTTAATTTTTGTCCCCTCAAATAAGTAAAACTTAAAGCTCATACTTCAACCCAGCACACATCCAGAATGCCAGCAGATAATATGCCAACTATATTACGTTCTACAATGTGCCATCTTTCCCCCTCTTCTTCCCAGGAATAAGGAAGTTGAGTCAACATAGCTCATTATGACAAGAAGGTCTGAATACATGGTAACAAGATTTACAAATAAGACTCAGTAAAATTCATTACTTAAAGTGGCTTAAGATATGCTCTGACAAAATGCAAAGCCAAAACACTACAAGTAGGTATCTACAAGTAGACAAAAGGCACTCCTGACAACCAGAGTTACTTCGCCCACAAACCCTAAAATTATACCAGAGCAAGCTGCAACATGAACAAAACAAACATTTATTATCATACCACTTATTAGCTCGCTTTTGAGAGCAAAGTAATCCCTGCCACAGTAAGAGTCTTGAGATCAACTTAAAGAGGACACTAAGAAAGGAATGAGCTGTGATCTTCTGGGGCACTATGTACAACAGACCCAGTTTTCCAGAAGTTGCTGATGAAAACTGCTTTAAAGGTTTATTCTTGAGGGGCGCCTGGGTGGCTCAGTTGGTTAAGCGTCTGCCTTTGGCTCAGGTCATGATCCCAAGGTCCTGGGATCAAGCCCTACATCAGACTCCCTGCTCAGTGGGGAGCCTGCTTCTCCTTCTCTCTCGGCCATTCCCCCTGCTTGTGCTCTCTGGTCTCTCCGTCAAATAAATAAATGAAATCTTTTAAAAAAAAGTTACATCCTTGAATAATTACCTTTTAAAAGTAATTCTGCAATGACACATTAAGTAACACTGTAAATATACCTAGGTTCATTTGTGGGTAAGCTGCTCTCAGAATTACCCTAAAAAACAATGTCTGGCTTTAAATAACATATACAAAAAAAAATAAAATCTTTTAAAACTAAATTTGCAATTGAAAGATTAACCCTTCTAAAATTATTAATATCTAACTCCACAATGACTATACAATATAGACAATAAATGGTAGTTATCTTATGAAGGGCTTCCTCTATACCAGGTTTAAGATTAAGTGCTTTGCACCTCAATGAGATACCACCTCACACCAGTCAGAATGGCTAAAATTAACAAGTCAGGAAACGACAGATGTTGGCGAGGATGCGGAGAAAGGGGAACCCTCCTACACTGTTGGTGGGAATGCAAGCTGGTGCAGTCACTCTGGAAAACAGTATGGAGGTTC